ATCTTGATTCCAGCTTGTGCTTCATCCAGTCCAGCATTTCTCATGATGTACTCTGCATATAAGTTAAATAAGCAGGGTGACAATATACAGCCTTGACATACTTCTTTTTCGATTTGGAACCAGTCTGCTGTTTCATGTCCAGTTCTAACTGTTGCTTCTTGACCTGCATACTTCTTATTTCCATAATTGTCTAATTTTTTTCAAATGTAACCATGATTAATAATCTTTTTACAATTGTTGGGGCTTTCCTGATAGCTCAGTTGGTAAAGAATCCACCTGCAATGCAGGAGACCCCGGTTGGCTGGGAAGATCCCCTGGAGAGGGGAAAGGCTACTCACTCCAGTATTCTTGGGCTTCCCTTGTGGCTCAGCTGGTAAAGAATCCACCTGCAATTCAGGAGACCTGGGTTTGATCCCTAGGAGAAGATCTCCCGGAGAAGGGAAAGGCTACTCACTCCAGTATTCTGGCCTAGAGAATTCCATGGATAGTCCAAGGGGTCTCAAAGACTGAGTGACTTTCACTCTTAATATCACTTACAATTGCTTGGTAGACTTTTGCAGTACAATTGTCACTTACAATTGGCATGGTAGACTTCTGTTTCTAGTGATTAAATTTTTAAATGTCAGCATTACACATAGGATGAGATTGTTTCAGTTGACTTAGTTTCCCCATCTTTCTGAATATCATTTTGGGATTGCTCTTTAAACATTTTTACATTCTTTCACCAATCCTTCAAATGGCATATTACCTTAATTTTATATGACTAGCAATTAGTGTCTAAGATCCCTGCATTTCATATGAATTCAGTTACTCTGAATTCCTCTTCAGCAATTTGATACTTAAAGGCATGAATGTTAGATTTGGGGTACTAATCTTTAAGTTTTGGTTACTGGTTATTAAATTACTCTTTCTTGAATATTTGATATATACTCTAAAAGGCTAACCCATTCTGTAATCCTTAGCTTTTAACAATCCAATGTTCCTTAAAATGCCATTAAGAAAAAATTAAAACCAATCAACTAAACCTTCACGGAAGTCATCAAAAGCTTTTAATATATTCTCTCCAATAAAACCGGCTGTATAATTTATAACAGAAAAATAACTTACACTGTTGAACTGGTACATTGCTAAATGTAGCCATCACTCCAAACACTGGACTTCAGCAAATTATTTTTATAAGTGACTCAGAGCTAAAAATAATGAAAAAATAACAATAAAACAGCCTGGCCCCTGCCCTCATGGAGCTTACCACTGAGACAGTCAGGCAGGAATCAAGGAATCCTATTTCCCAGGTTAATGATATCAGGAAGGCATATTGTGGGGGAACTGCCTCATTAGGGAGGCCAGGTCTGGAAGCGGAGATTAACCAGGCAAAGCTGGGGGAAAGCAGCTCTCCAGTAAGAGTGAAAAGTGTGCGCAAAGGCCCAGACCTACAGCATGGATCCGGAAGAGGCCCCTGCGACTGTCGAATGAATGATCTGCTGCTTGAGACTTCAGATTCGATGAGCCCTCCCTCAGAGAATGATCCTCCTCGAAGCTAAGGGGTCCTTCGACCTGCCTCCTGCAGAGTGTGTCTGGGAGGCCTGTCCAGCTAAGATCAGCCAGGGCACAGGTGTCTACCCTCTCACCCACACAGGAAGGGCTTCTGTGTCCCTCACCCCACCCTTGGTTCTGTCTCAGAGTTTCCCTAGAACAAGTTTTTCTTGTTGAAAAGCGAGAAACTTACTGCTAGTAGCTGAAGGCATTGTCAGCCGTCACCAATTCTCCACAGACAAGCATTCCTAGAGACTATTATTAATTAGCTTCATCCTAAATAACCCCACAGAACATCAGCTCTTGTAGCACTTGCCTGATTTTCAGGCTTATTTTCTCAGAATTTACTTCTCTGATGAGTGACATGAGATTCTCTTCTGGGGGTGGTCTGAAATGCAGAGCCCAGGAACTCACCCCAAACTCACAGAATCAAAATTTTACAGGGAAAGAATCTGGGTCTATTCATTTTAATAACCACACCCCCGCCAGGTGTTGGCTCAGTGGGTAAGGAATCTGCCTGTGATGCAGGAGACACAGAAGATGTGGGTTCAATCCCTGGCTCAGGAAGATACCCTGGGGAAGCAAATGGCACCCCACTCCAATATTCTCACCTGAAAAAAAAAAATATCCCAGACAGAGGTGTCTGGTGGGCTACAGTCCAAAGGGTCTCAAAGAGTCAGATATGACTGAACAACTAAACACACACACAGGTAATTTTACATCATAAAATTTGAGAACCACTGGTATGAATGTTCAATAAATAAAACTTGAAGAAAATATTGTGGCAGGGTTTATCAGATGGGTTTTTACCTGTTATTTTGAGTAATTGTTGGTTTTTCTCTTGCCTCATGTTGGAAAATTTGGGTTGGGTGAAGGGCATTGCTGGTCTTTCTCTCCTAACACCAAGCCAAATGCTTCTCTGGGAGCTCTGTTCTGGGCTCCACGTGTCAGCACCGATTTGCTTTGCACATACACTGGGGCTTAGGGTGTCTGGATCTTGGCATACCCCAGGCTAGAGCCACAGCTCCTCGATGGGCTAGGGGAACACCTCTTTCACACCTGAGCCCATCTCCCTGCATCAACTATTTCCATGCTTAACTGTGGGACAGCACCTTCCCCACAAGAAAAATGTCTGTGCCTTCACTCAGCATCCTTTCATTTCCTAACTGCCCCCCTAGACCACCCGCAGTATATAAATTAGGTAGAAACAAGATTTCTAGGTAAGATATTTTTGGTTGACATCCATAGCATTATAGCCCAGGGACCCTAGAGTTTGGTTTGCTCTGGGTAAGCAGTTCCCATAAAGGTGTACAAACACCCACTGAGTTCAAGTCTTCCATGGGAAGTTCGCTTAGGAGAGGAGTCAAAGGAAACTGTGAAGCTAGAGAAAAGGAAGAAGTATTAAGAACTCAGATTATGGATTGAAACAGACCTTGGTCCTCCTCCTGCTCTTTCCCAGAATTGTAGTATAACTCGGGAAAGCCATCCAGCTGCTCAGCGTAGTTCCCTCCCAGTGACATGGGAGTAATAATAGCTTTTCCCTCATGTCGTGATGATCAAATGAGACAATGTTTATAAAGTCTTCAGTACATCTGGCACACAACCCTCAAAAATTTTCAGTTAGCTTTCATAATTTTTAAAATAAACTGACTAGTCCTGCCTGATAACCTGAATGGCAAACAGACATTATAGAGTTAATCTATCTTTAACCAAACAAGGGTACAAAGTGAGAAATCCCATGATGTCACCTATATTACACACAACCTTTTTGCTCTAGAAAGAGGGGCACTTGGTGGTATCTGGTTATTTCTCAAGGAATGAGGCATAACAGAAGCACAAGGGACTTTCTGGGTGTGTACCTGAAAGTTTGGGGGCTCTTCGTTTACAGCTCTTTGCTATCATAATGGGCTTTCCTGGTGGTTCAGTTGATCAAGAATCCACCTGCCATGCAGGGGACTGCCTGCAATGGAGGGGACTGCCTGCAATGCAGGAGACCTGGGTTCTACCCCTGGGTCGGGAAGATCCCTGGAGAAGGAAATGACAACCCACTCCAGTATTCATGCCTGGGAAATCCCATGAACAGAGGAGCCTGGCAGGTTACAGTCCATGGGGTTGCTCAAGAGTCAGACACAACTTAGCAATTAAATCACCACCAATGATAGATCAATAAGAATCTTACAGGTAAAATTTATTCACTCAAGAGGTATTTATTGTATACTCACAATGTGTAAGGCACTAAATTGGTTTAGACTGGATCCTCCCAAGATGTCTAGTTACTCAGGGTGACGAAAAATATAAAAACAACAGAGAGGTTGAAAGACAAATTGCTTTCACAGTTCAGCAGAGGGACAGATTCCTTCTTAGCAGGACAACAGAAAGCTTTATGGAGGAGACAGCATTTAACCTAGGACTTGAACGAGGAAAAGGAATTGGACAACCAGATGTGGGAGTGAGGAGATCCCCAAAGAGAAGGCCCAGTGAAGCCAGGAGGTAGGAGAAGAGACACAGAAAACAGTCATGTATTAGTTTGAGTGAACTACAATGAGATACTTTTCACTGAAGTTTCCCACGGAAACGTGAGGCATTTACTTGGGAGTTTCCTAGGGAAACAAGAAAGCTTCTTTATTAACGTAGACAGTTAAAACAGGAAGAATCCCCTACATATGTATTCTACCCAGTTTTTAAAAGAGGTTATCCTTTGGTAAAGACTTCCCTGATAGCTCAGATGGTAGAGAATCTGCCTGCAAGGCGGGAGACCTGGGCTCAATCCCTGGGTCAGGAAGATTCCCTGGAGCCCCAGAGAAGGGAGTGGCTGCCCACTCCAGCATTCTTGCCTGGAGAATCCCAGGGACAGAGGAGCCAGGCGGACTATAGTCCATGGGGTCGCAGAGAGTCAGACATAACTGAACGACTAAGCACGCACGCATCCCTTGGTAAATATTCCAGGTGAAAATACTGTCATTAGAGTTTTACGGCAATGATATAAAACCTCCAATGATGCAGAGACTAACAGTTTAACATACAACAGATTTTCACCATTTGCGCCATCCTTTTTTTCTTTCTTTCTTGTTTTAATTAACTATAAAGCCCTACTGTGTACCTCTCAGGATGTGGTGAAGATTTTGTTAGTTGATCAGGACATGAACCATGTCATGAAAAGAATTATCCAGTAGTGCACTCCTTGGTTCTGCAGCTCTCTCCCTTGTTTCAACAATATTTGCATAGAACAGACCCCAGGGACACCCCTTGCTCCAGCCTCAGACCACCCCAACAGTTGCAACCTTCAAATCAGCCAATCAACCATCCTTGGCCACTGGGACCAGTTTTCTGAGGTTATTTCCTTATTACCGATCACCATGAACTTCCAGGTCATCAGAATTATTCCACGGAGGTGGAGGCCGCCGTCAATATACACCTACAGGTCTCCCATACCTACCTCTCTCCGGGCTTCTGTTTCCACCTGGAGAATGTGGTTCTGGAGGGCGTGGGACCATCTTTTCCGCGAAATGGGCGAGGAGAAGCGCGAGGATGCCAAGCGTCTCTTAAAAATGCAAAACCAGTACTGCTGCCACGCAGTCTACCAGGACGTGCAAAAGCCATCTCAAAATGAGTGGGCTCAAACCCAGGACACTATGGAAGCCGCCATGCTCAGGGAGAAGGGACTCAACCAGGCCCTTTCAGATCTGCGTAGCCCGGGTTCAGCCCACCAGACCTTCACCTCTGACTTCCTGGAAAGCCGGGTCCTCGAAGAGCAGGTGAAACTCATCAAGAAGATGGGCGACCACGTGACTAACCTCTGCAAGCTGACTGGTCCCCAGGCTGGGCTGGGCGAGTATCTCTTGGAAAGGCTCACCCTTAGGTAGGACTAGGAGCCTCCATGCCCGGCGGCCTTTGGGGAAACCCTCTGATATAAGGGCTTCTGCTTGAAGCCTCTCTTTGCAGCCACAAGGCAGTCTTTTAACCACCCTGGAGCCCTCTCCGAAGCCGTAGACCAAATTGATACAAGGTTTTTGCGGGGAGCGGGAAGAATTACCCAGCTGATCACCATGACTAGGACATTTGGGCTTCCCAGGTGGCGCAGAGCTAAAGAATCTGCCTGCTGATGCAGGAGATGCAGGAGATGCGAATTCGATCTCTGGGTCGGCAAAATCCCCTGGAGTAAGCCATGACAACCCACTCCAGTATTTTTGCCTGGAAAATCCCACGGACAGGGGAGCCTGGCAGGCTGCAGTCCACAGGGTTGCGAAGAGTCGGACACAACTTAGTGATTGATCAGGCACACAGTATGAAAATGCAGTTGACATCTGTGTTCTAACATTCCAATATATTACAGTTATTTTTATAACCCTTGCATATACCCCACAAAGATAGGAATGAAATTTTACCCTTAGTCCACTCCATTACATTGTTCTTTAGGAAGTCCAGTAGAAACATTTCACGAAGGAATAATTAGAAAAATGTTATAACTCACAGTCTTTCATTTTAAAATAGATTAATTCTTGCAGTCAATTTCCTGGGTTAACTATAAATCATCTTGAATGGTAAAACTCTAATTTTGACTTGTTATTTGTTCCATTGGTTTAAAAAAAAGAGTGAAAATAGAACAGAAATCATGAACAGTTCTTTCTGGGCAGTGGCTATGCAGTTTCTTAAAGTTCTTAAGCATGACCTTTGGGCAAAAGCAATAATACAATGACCCAGAACCCTCCCTGGGGCTTGTTGTGAGAGAGTGTAGCAAACAAGCCTTGTTTGTAAAGTGATAGAGGCCTGGTATCTGCTTGCTCTGTGAGAACATCATTTACCCAGATTAGATTAACAATAACTAATTGGGGCTATTTCCAATTTTGCAGTATCACAGGTTGGATTCAACAGATGAGCTAGGTCATTTGCTAATGAGTTGCCTTCATTATAGCATTTGGCAGAGGAATTTTTGGCATCACTGGATGGTCTGAGTAAAAAGTCCTGTGTGCTTAGGTCTTAGTTAAAATAAAAATTAGGAGAGACTGTTCTTTCCTTTAGCTAAAAAATAATCCCAAAACATAATTTTAAAGACCAAAAAAAGTTATTGAGCTAGAAAAGGTGCCTAGGAAAATAATAAAATTCTTGAAACTTAAGATATTATGTAGAATACTTAGAATATGCAAATAAAATGTGTGAAGAATGGAAATAAGAAGAAAGGACTTAGAAGTGTGAAAGAGAACATATAAGAGACCTGCTAAAGTAGTTAAATCTGGTCAGAGAACTCAGGAAAGTGTTCAGTGGATGAAAGAAACTATTCTTTGTTTGAACAGCTAGCCTTTAAATGATTATATATTATCTTAAAATTTTTTAGAATAACTTTTGACACATTGTTCAAGTGTTCTTGTAGTGTTTGCTTTATTATTATTTTTATTCACGATGAGCTTACTTCAAATGAATTTTTGCAAGTTGTTGGATTACAAATGATAAGTGAAAAAAATAAATACATAGAACCCTATAAGAACGCAGCTGGAGTGGGGTGGGCTAAGGGAGATTAAAACAAAATGTTTCACTGCTCTGACTTTTACTCATTCCTTTTATATATTCTACATTCTAAACCTCTTAGAATCTCTCTGCAGATTTCATAATTTCAGTTTTACCAAACACATCCACCTTGTAATTATGAATATATGGACATAATTAACTGAATCACTTTGAGAGAAGGAAAAAAATACCCTATTTAAGGCTAATTAGATGAATCATGAATGCCTGGAAGAATGCATTTCAATAAGGTGAAAAACTTTGGATAAAAGTTTAATGAAGTTTCCAATTGCATTTGACCACAGAGAATATTGATAAACATTCATTCCATGCAGATTATTAAATTGTATTGATTTAGAAACTCAAAGTATCAACAGCGCCATTGCCTCCAGAGGAGACCTGATTGCACTTACATGTCACATTCATAAAAAACATGGTGTACTAATTGGGAGTCTCCCGCCATCTGCACACTTGCTTCCAGGCGCACATGAACCGATCAATGGGAAAGCAGGGTCAGTCCAGGCAGACTGTGAGTGAAATTAAAATAATAAAATGTCTAAACATTTAACTGCAAATAGGAAATCTTTATACCCACCCACACCCTATTCTGTAGCATAAAGCTAAGGCACAATTATTCATATACCTCAAGTAATTTGCAGGCTCCATACAAAATCTCATTTAAAATAAGAAATTGCTATTTCTGCACATTTATTCTACCAAATGCCAGCTAATTGCTGCAATGGCCATTATAAAGAATAATTTTCGCTTAGTGAAAAAAAAAAGGAATGAAGAGAACATTTTCTGGTTTTGTTCCACTGCGAAGGCTCTATTCAGTGAATGCTGAATGCACAGCGTTTCACTGCTACATTTATTATGCTAAGAGGTCAAGTATTACACAGCATCTTGTATTACGCTTTGCATGCTAAGTATTTCACTTCACAAATTGACCCTCCGGTGTACTTACTACATAATGCTTTAAAAACCCAGCTAAAACGCAGGACAATTAGCAATACTTTCACTCCCAGTGAACAATGGGAACACCAATGTAGGTGATTGCATTTACAGTGTAGCTTTCTTCACAAAACATTTTTGACACATTAAGGTACTTTGGAATTGTGCAGTACCAGTCCTCTCTTGTGAATGGCTTTCCAGCATTTGCAGAGAGAAACAGTTACTGTATGTTAGTGCTTAATTGAAAAGAATTCAGCCACGGCCTATGAAGCACCAATTAGGGTGATATTATATCATAAAAAGCTGTAATATCCATTTTCAGACTTGTGCATCAGCCAATACAAAGTAGGACACAATTAAAAAGGTATACAGTTTAAACTCTTGAAACTGTTAAATTTAATTAGGAGTTCAGTATGGGGGGAAAAAAGCGTGGGGGTGGGGTAGAGAGAAAAGGAAGTTCTCCGCAGAGCTAGAGGGCCCACAGGCACTAGCCGCCCAGGAGGACCGCAGAAGATGGTCCTTCCTGTTTAAAACACCTTTAGTTAATACAAGGTATTTGCTTTGCCCCAGTGACTATTTCTTCAGGTCAGATGAATATTCATGCTTGTCCTCGGGAAGCGCTGCTTTCCAGTAATTCTGGTATCTGTTGGTGCCTGGGAGGGAGAGAAGGCAGAACCTGCTCTGGCCAGGGAAGTGGGAACACAGTATTGATGGGTCTCTTGCCCACACAGATCAAGCACAATTAAAAGTGAGCTAAATGCATTGCTTTTCACGAAGAAATTCACAGATAATTGTGAAATAAAATGGACATGGCCAGATTGGTATAAGTGTCTTTGCAGGCTTGGCTCCAAATGTAATGTTTAAATACAGGAACCTGCATGAAATCCCACATTGAGGTGACAGCCAGCAGGTAATTATCAGTAAAACAACATTATCAAAGTTCTTGTGCATAGCGTGTTTGATGGACTGGAGTGCTTCTCCTTACAAATCCCACTAATATCCATTTCAATCTGTTTTAATATGTTCACAAGTTGGGGCTTATTTTGAATTCCACTGGGTAAATGAGGACAGCACACTTTGAATTTGCATACTATACACATTTCTTTCATTTATAAAGGGTTTCCTGTTTTGTTTTTTTTTTAAAGGAAACTGCTAACATCCAGGATCCAAAAACATTCCTTCCCTATAACTAGATTGAAAATATAAAGTAGCTTGTTTATTCATTGTATTTACTCCATTTGAAGGTATATAACAGGTCTAAGAAAAATGGTCTTTATTATGTTCAAAGAAGAAAAAAGTGATTTTAATGATTTATCAGTGGTCACACAATTTTCTAAGGTTTCAACGTGTTGAAATGAAAGGTTAATTTATTATTTTTCAAGTCTGTGTTTGAAAACTGCTGGTGAAAAAGTCCTCATCTCTGATTTGAGGAGGTTTCTCTTCAATCCACAGGTCACTCCAGGCCTTTTTAAAGTTCCACCTCTATCCTGTCCAACAAATAAGCAGACCTGAAGTTGACATTTTATTGATGAGACAAGTTTGGGATGATCTAAAATCAGATATTCCACGTTCCCTTCTTTCTCAACCAACTCTGCAAGACCTTTAAAAGAAATCAGCAAACAGAAAAGAGGTGTCCATTAAAAATCCAAGGATGCTCCCCTTCTCAAACCCACTCTGAGTCCCAGATAATTCAGAAGACACAGTCATTACTTTGGAGCAATATCTGATATTCAGTTTTGTTTCTAATGCTTTGAATTAAATTAAAACATTAATAAAATAGTGATAGTATTGTGGAAGTCTGCAGTAAGGTTATATTAAATTGTACATGCTGGTTTTATTTTATTGGTTGTACATATAATGAGAAATATTTTTACTAGGAGATTCTGCCTTTGAAAAGTGGGTCAGTCAACAGATTCTAAAGTAGTACTGGTCTGAAGATGTCTTCTCTTTTAGTGAAAGTAGAACCAGCACATTTGATGAATGTGATTAATATGTGAGGAATTTTAAGGGATATGATAATGCTTGAGCAACTACATAGGAATTAAACACTGAATAGTCTAGATTCTAGACCTCTCTATCCAACCCAATTTCTGTGTTAGATCCCCCTTCCAAAATGAACAAGATGGGAGGTTCAGTTCATAAGTTTTAATGACAGTTCAGTAGCTTGTTGTATTAAGATTCTTTCTGAGATGACAGGAGATTTCACAAATGTTTTCCTGAGTTCATTTTCTAACTAATGATATTTTTGAAATTCTCAACCTCTGAGGGGGCTGAAAGAATTAAGTATCCGATGTGGTCTGGAACTGATCTGATGATGAAAATTGCTATTGAGATACTGAAAATCTTTTTTTTTTTTTAATGGAAGAGAAATGTCTCTTCCTCCACTAATCAGCTCTATCAAAAAGATAC